CTTGCTTTTGTGTCCAGTAGGCTGCGCCTCCACTTCCTTGAGATTGAGATGAAGTCGATTTGGTTTTTGGTTTGCCCGTCTGGTGACACCCATGTAGCCTTGTGGATATCTTTGTGCTTGTATACACTGCCACCAATCACTAGTTCGTTGAAGGCGCAGAAGTCGGCGAAGAGTTCTCCATTTTCATTCATTTATCCAAGAGTTTCTCTACCCAATTGTGAGACTTTATCAAAACAAAATTTACCCATAATGGAATTACACTCTACCACAGTGCACAAGTTTTATTCTTATATAGATGACAAATTATATTCAGTATGGATAAATGCAGACAAATCACCTAGTTAGGGTCTTTTATGGGCAAAGTTCAACAATAGCGTCCCAAGGGATGCGAACGCACGAGTGACCTTCAGGCAGCCAATCATAAAAATGAGGAATTTTTGCACGAAAAATGACGTATATTCACAAGAAAATGCATGAAAACACATTAAACAGATTATATTTTTCTGATATGACTTAAAAATACGTCCCAGTTGCGATGAAGAGTATCAGTTGCTAATTTGGACTAGTTTCTGTATATGTATTCACCAAAGTGACTGAAGGTGTGCTGTTTTGGGAATGGTTCATCTCTCTTCTCTTGCTGTGTAGTCCTCTCCTAAGCCCTCGGTTTAGTTACTATGGTTCCAGTAACAGCATTGGCGACTACATACAAGGGAAATAAGGATAATTAAAGAACTTGAAATAAACGAAAAATCTATTCCTAATCGCTACCCTAACCCTAAACCCTAAGCCTAACCATTGTGCCACCGACGCACACAATGACCGTAACCCTAACCACAATACTCGCCTTAACCCCTATCCTAACTCTAACGAGATGTTAACACATTGTCCAAACAGTAATAAAAGTGTTATCTATGTGGAACTTGCTCCTTATTTGATGAATAGGGTTGATATTTCAGCTATGATAATGACAGGAACCGTTAGCCAACGACTAGCATGCGTTTAAGGTCATTTGAGCGTTGAAGGTTTTGGGACGCTACTCTTAAACTTCGCCCTTTTATGCATGAGACATACATAAAATTTCAAATATGTCAGAAAAATAAATTTATTCAACTATCGTCAAATACACTGCCGTATTTGCACTTATGCATGACTCATCTTCCTCAAAATATTATTAGCTAAAAATGTATGTATTTGTTCTGACTGTCTACTGCTTAATAAACATGTTTCGTTGACTGTGTGAACTGGTATTGATATGTTTATTCACGTGATACGGGAACACTGTATGGTACAACTTCATAATACAAAACCTGTGTTAGTCCAAGATTTTAGCAAAATAAAGTCACAACGAAACATGAAGGAGAAAAGTAATTAAATGCTGTAAACAATAAACACATTATTGAACGATAAGGAAGGGATAAGTGTGTAGTTCTAATTCACACCATGTCTGACTGGCCACTGTAACCACATCACCAAATACGTCAGTTTACCAACTAAATGGCACACCAATACGGTTATTTCGACGAAATCAGCTTCACGATGACTGCAAATGAGACGTTCTGTCAACATAAATTACAGTAAGTTTAGAAATAGAATAAACCTTTTAATATTTTCATGATTTTTAACCATAGTGGCTCATATTTTACAAACAATGTATGTTACTTTAAAGGTCCTAAAGTGATGAACAGGCAGTAAGCTTAACTACATTATAGTTGTTGTTATTCAACCTATTCAGTTGTGAAACTACTTCAGTTTACGTAAGGCACATTTTTATTTTATTTAAGTTTATTGGTCAGCATTAATAGATACTGGGAATGAATAGCAGTGGATTAGATGAATTTAAAATGTATTATTACTACCGTGTCAAGATAACTGTCTCCAGACTGCTGACAACTGTATACTTCATATTAACATGTTTTAGCAAATTAGTTACAACCGTAATACGCACCACATTGTCGCAATAATTTACACTCTGTCTGTCATAGATTTGCTGGAGCACAGTACTGACAGATGATACAATTATTTTCTTCCCTCACTGTCTATTTAATTTCTACCCTTTATTTTCTTTTTTTATTACAGCTTGATTCCACACCGTATTTTTGGTACAAGTATGGAATTTTCAGCGTGGATATCGGTAGCCCAAATTTCGCAAGCCAACCATAGATATCAGGTGTGCGTCGGCGAGGGCTCGAATCTCGGACCATATGCATGGTCGGCGAGAGTCCTAACCACTGTGCCACCGACGCACACTGTTGGTAACTTGAATCTCATCCAATTGTAGTTGACTTCTGCTCAGTCACGCCAATTATATTGTGGTTTCACACCACTTAACTCTTTTTATATTACGCAATATTTGTAATCTAAAATTTACAATTCTAATGACAAATCTTTGGTAATATTTCGTTTTTTTGCTAAGAGAATTTACTATATATGTTTGACTGTACAGCAATAGAATGATATCTCTATAATGAGTAACTCTTCGCTGAACGTCTTTTATTTCGGAGCAATGTAATATAAATAGGTTTTCACTTTATTAAAATTCAGTGTAAACTAGGTTCTACCAATCAAACATTTTATAGTTTGTTTGTTAAAATAAATGAATGAAATTCATAGCAAAAGTTTTAAGCCACATCTTCACGGTTAGTACAGAGCATATTAACTAATAGGAATCAATGAAACACAGGGATCGACTTGCTACCAGGGAATAATCCCGTTGACTTAGAATATGCGGACGACATAGTCCTCCCTGCTAAGTAAAGACGCTAACAAAATGCACAGTCTTCTGAACACCTTAAGTTGCAATCCGCAAATGTTTGGCACGCAATTCGCTCCCGCCAAATGCAAGATGATGTTTTAAGACAGGACCACACTGACTCTTAACTTAGAAATAGGGAGTGAAGTGGTAGAGCATGTTGACCACTTCACTTATTTGGGAAGTACCATCAGCCAGTGCCAACGGGTTGATCTCCGACGAAATCTCAGCACGGATACAGAGGGCTAGTTTCGCATATGCCAGTTTACGCCGTCTCTGGCGTAGATGTGATATCCGGCTATCCACCAAAGGGCGTGTGTACTGTTCATCAGTCTGCTCCGCCCTCCTTCATGGCTGTGAGACCTGGTGCATTGAGAGTGGAAAACATGAAAAGGCTGGTTAGCTGTCTTTGATCATAGGTGTCTGCGTTCTATCTCCCATGTTAAGTGGTGTAATAAGGTGAGAAGTATTGAGGTTAGGCGTCGAGTTCTAGGTAAGGAGGAGAAATCAATAGACGAGGCTGTGAAGCTACATCGAGTGAGATGGTTAGGACATGTGTCATATATGCTTAGTCATCGCCTTCCTCGACAATGGGCAATGATAGCTGACATACGGTCAGGCTGGAAAAGAGCAAGTGGCGGTCAAACAAAAACATGGCACCAGTCAATGAAATCTACAACATTTAGTGTAAGCCACGTAGGAAGGTGTAGACTTCCGGGTTGAGGTGCTCGGGACGGTAAAAACCAATGGCTGGAAACAATTGATGACGTGGCTCAAAATCGTTCTCAATGCATAGCGCAGATGCATCCACTCTCTGTGACTTATGATTTCCAATGAAACTATATTGTTCTTCGTTATTACTATTCCTTTGTCTCACACCTCTGTTTACTGTCTCTATTATGCATTTCTTGTACTTTCTTCTCTTGGTTTGTGTGCTACAAGGAGGGAGTGTGGCGACTTGAACTGTCGCACATCTGTGCAAAGTTCTATGTCGAAAACAGACAGACAGACAGAGTCAATGGAACTGCATGATTAATCGAAGTATAAACAATAAACAACAACACTGAATGAACCATGAAAATAATATTCCAAGGTGAATGTTGATCGAATAGTATTTTTTTTTAAATTAGTTCATTTTTCAAGTTTACGAAACTTTGTATTAGGATCACCAATAAAGTTAAAATCAGTAAAAATTTCACTAAGCAGTCATCTGATTAGTAGATTATAGTCGACAAAATGACACTGATATAGCAGAATTTCATACAATAGTGAAATGACGATCAGACTACTCATGATAGTCGTAGTTTGGGTGAGTGCTGTTGTTTAAGATTAGACCAACAACTGGACTTGGTATCTAACTTGGGCCTGCTGGTAGGATACTGCAGGCTAGAAATGTAACTGAATTCCGGCATTGGTTTCTGCTTCGGATATCATCTCCTTACACTTGGGTACATTACCATTTTCAACAGAACATAAAAATATTCTATGGTAAAAATAGGCCAACTAAAGACATGAAACATTTGTAATTCTCTGATAATTTCAGTTCAGAATATATTTAAACTCTATGGCACATCTACACCAAATGATTTAGATTTATGTAGATACTGGCCATAATACCAATTCGACTAAGAAAAATTGCATATGAAACGAATATTTCATTATTGGTATTATCACCACGCACATGGTCACTTTGACTTTTTAACGATTTAACCGTGTAATATGATTACGAGGTAAGACATAATCCTCTCACTTTATACTTGCCGAGTCTTCATTTGTACATGCTAACAGATTAAACCTTATTACTTGCCCCACACAACCTCTACATCATCCTATACTACTTTTTATTTAAAAGTAGTTCAAAGACTACTAGTTATCTAATGAACTGTACATTGAACTTAAGGCGGATACATGTGTAACTTATTAAATGGCTGACCAAACTGGTTAAATTACATAGTAGTCAAATATGTTATTAACGTAGTGGTTGTTAATTATGAATGTCAAAAGCTTAACTTTACTTTTCTCGAATTATGTTTGAAGTACTATTTTTATCTGATAAAATAATATCCTCATGCTCTAAATTTGCTATGCTACTTTTAGTTAACAAATGTGTCAATAAGTAACTGGGTACAAATTTAGTGTAAAAATTAAACTACCATTTTGATTGTCTACAACACTCATATTATTAGAACGGATTGTAGTAAAAGGAAGCAAGGAAAGTGAATTTCCAATATTCTATCAAGAAAAATCTAACCTCTTCAATTCTATTCTGTAAAAACTTCAACATGTTTTGCGTATCATCTTGTTCTGCTCTTGTTCGTGATTTAGTTAACTCCAAATCGTTTGTTACTGATAAGTGTTTAGCGTGCGTTTGATTATAATCCGTATTTGAAGAATGAAGTAAATCTTGCGCAGTGGTTAGACGTGATTCAAGCAGTTCAATAGATTTTCTTAGTTTGGCTATTTCATTCTGACTAAATAAGAATAATTGAGAAATAGTGGAAGAGTTATAATTTATAAACAGAGACTTTTTGCTTAAAGTGAAACAATTTAATGCTTCAGCAACTGACTGAATGATAAATTAACTAAGGACTTCGAACAAAAATACTTCATTTAAACCTGACATGAAAGAATTGAAGAGATTTCTAATAGCCCTATAAACGAGAAATATGAGTGTGAGCGAGATCAAGATTTAATCAAATGATGTTCATAACCTCAAGGAGTGAATACAATAGCGACATAAGAAGAGCCTACAGATAATAATTATGAGTATTGAGATAATCCCATACAGACAGCCCACGCCACTAGAAGTGGTCTGCACTAGTAGCCAGGTGAATAATAAAGTGGTACTATATTTTGGTCTTAACAACTGTAACTTTCTGCTTTTTATTAGGCTTTATCCATGAATATAATAATAATAATAATCCTTTTAGCTGTATCTGTCATCGAGTATCATGAAAAATTTTAAAACACTGCTATTAATTACTAACTATTCAAAAGTTTAGCTCCGGTTTTTTCTTATGACTACTGATATTTTATCGTGCGGAAAGTGGGATTTATTCCCATGATATCAAGATATGATGGTAGATAATGACAGCTACTTGAAAAAGGATTTATATTTAAATGAACTGTTGTCAAGATTTGACAGAATAGTTCTAAAATATTTAGGCGCCGAGTGAGAAGTAGACATTTGTAAAAAATTATATTTGTAAAATCTCAGCGATATTGAAATGAGTAATTCCAACGTTTCCTGCGTTCGGCAGTCTGGTCCGAACTTCTTCAGGGAAATTAATCGAAATTAACATAACAGAGGTTTATATATAAAATGAACATCTCTTGTTTTTAAAACCTTGTCCAATCATGAGTCATAAAACAAGTATGAACAAGTATAATAAGCAAAATTGTATGAGCTCTGATCAAAATTCGACCTCGGACTTACAAATATTGGTCTACCTTTGTTAAACACTTTAAGCAGAGCGTGTATATGTGTGTGCGTAAACAGTTGTAAAACATTTCTTAACGTCTCCATAAGAAGATATAGACAGTCGGGAATTTCGACCAAGTATTATTAGTTAGTGATACATATCCATTTTTTATTTATTAATCAAGATTTCCTATGCATCAGCCAACATCACGTCTTGATGTCTGTCCAAACTGTAAGTATCTAGAATTTTATGATTAGATGTATTTTCAAAATTAGGGTGTTTAGGATTAGAGTTTAGTTGAAGCACCCTTTTGAACTTACTGCTTTGTCTTTTTCCTGAAGATTGAGCTGCTTTATTCGACCTACTGGAGTTGTCAGGTGACTCGAAATGATCGAAATGGAAATATGGGGAACCGCAACAAAAAAGCAGAAGGAAGTAAGACAATGTAAAGCAAGTTATCAAATCGTATGGATAAATCGATATGACTCTAAGCAACAAATTGTGTTCAAAACGTTATATCTCTATTAATATTGTATGTATATATGTATGTAAGATCACATAAAATTATCTCATATGGAGCTATACTCTACCACAGTGCTAAAATTCTACTCTTACATAAATATTTGGTAGGTCGGAAAAGGGAAAAATGCGTTTTTTTTTAAAAAAAATGTTATCGAAGTTCTAATGCATAAAAGCAAACATTTCACGGAAATTATATCTCATAGACTTTCTGTTTAGTTAGCTAAAACAAAAGTAATTTAAATTAGACAATCTGGATTCGTCTTATTTCGTTCGATGAAGTTAATCAGTTTCCATGCCCAAGAATTGTTCACGGAGTGTTACGATCAGCACATTAAGAGTTGAAAGACACAACATTTTAGCTTATTGGTTATACACATAAAACAACTAACTATTTAAATATTGATCATATAAGCCAGTAATGAAACAATCATTTATTAATAATTATTGATGAAACAAATAAAAGATAAACGAAGCGTGTTCTTACCAAGTTAGTATTCTTTCTTCACAGCGATCATTTTCAATTTGTAATTGTTTTTCATTCATTTTTATGTTATAACAATCTTCAGATTTTTTCTGTAACACTTGGTTCACTTGATTATATTCTTTATTTAACTTTCCATTGAATTGACTAACTAAGTTTTCTTCATTTTTTCTAATCCATAAAGATAAATTTTCACTGAAAGTCTGTTTATTTATATAGTCTTTGTTTAATTCACTTAATTGTTGTTTTAATTGATCAAAAGACTGTTCATGCTCTTTTGTTAGTTGAGTTAATACTTGTATTCGATTTTTAACAGTTTCTATTTTATTTTTCATGTTTTCTGTTTCTTGAATAAGCTTAGGTTCAACTTCTGTGGCTTCTTTTAGTTTCAATCTGTTTAAAAAAGAATAACGGGATAAAACAAAAAAGATTCGCTATAAAGAGATTAGAATTTAGCTATGTTGGCCACAAATATTAAGCGTTAAGATGTCTTCTTTAACCTCTTTAAGAATACATTCATTTAGTGGTTGCTTCGATTAAAACTGTATTTGAGCTGAAAGTTCCATGTTTTAATATATTTAATAAAAACAGTGTCTGGTGAAAAAAAAGTCATTTATACGATCAAGTGGTCAGTCATATAATAGTTTTAGTGTTATGGAAGTTGGGAATGTCAGACTTTCAAGTGCTTTACAAGTAGTATATGAAACAGTCGATCGAATAAGGCTTTGGCTTTGTTCTCATAATATGAAGTAGTTGAATATCTACACATAATGGTATGAGTACGGGAGAATGGAGTTTTGCTTTCAGTCTAACATTTAAAATGAAGTAGTTTGAATGATAAGAATAACTGTAGGTGTGAGGCAAGTCTTCAATATCTTCAGAAATAAACAAAAGTTACCGTCAATTTACGTTTTCCATGGCTAGAAACCTGGTTAGTCGATGATTACACGTAAGCTGGTACATTCTAAGTTGCCATAAAAATAACCAGCCAACAGAAATCTTACAGAATCATCTGTGTGAAAGTAGATTTCATAATTAAATCTGAAAGTACATTAAATTGGAAGAAACTCCAAGTAGAATTTTCAAATACACAATTCCATTTTGTAGGAATGAATGGTGTCACACACGGCAAAAGAGAATAACTTATATTATTGAAAGATTTTTAAAAAAAATGAAGTAATATCCAATGAAATAATGTTAGCTTTTTCAAATCATAGCCCTTATATAGTCAGCAAATCAAAAATGTAATGGACATCTTAATTAAAACCCTTTTTTACATTTACTCTGTATACAACACTTTGTGATACTAGGCGTATTTCATATCTGATATCTGTCTTTTAAATGGTAAATATACATGGGAGTGTAGATTCCACTGAGGAAACTTCTTCACTGGGTTAATTATTAAGTTATCATTCTTTTTCACCTGAATATCTTCAGCATTGAACAATCCGTATGTTTAAAGCGGAAATTTATTTCGTCTGTTATCAAACTTCCTTTTCTACCAGATAGAATTGATATGTATCCACATGATGTGTGTTTTGTTTTTGACAGTCTATTATATTTTGCTATGTTTATATGGATCGATATTTCATTATAACTGACAATATGTTATGTACTGCTGCTGAGTGAGTTATTAGAGTTTTCCCCGTCGCCAATTATGTTATGTACTCGTCGAGTAGTTAATAGTCCTGATGCGGAAAGAGGGAAATCAGAAGACCACCAGGTTTACGATGATACTTGTATTTTCCTAGACAAGGGAAATAAATGTCACACAAGAGTGTGAGTGAAATGGTACGTAGTGTACGAAACTTTGTGGGAACAAGTATGAACAAGTATACAGTACAAAAGTATATATGAAAATGACTAACACACATGAACCAATAAATAGACAGTCTTAACATGATTGGTTGTAATGTCATGTGACAACAAGGTCATACATGTTTATTTAGTTAGTGGGCAGATAAAAGCATATTGTCAGTTATAATGAAATATCGATCCATATACATAGCAAAATATAATAGACTGTCAAAAACAAAACACACATCATGTGGATACATATCAAGAATTAAAGGAAGCTTGTAAACATGGTTCGATTTAGTCAGCAGGAAAATTTAATTCATTTACTACAATGAGAAATTAATGCCATAATTATATTGACGCTGTCAACATCACACTATGCCAATGAAGTGGGATACCGAGCTTGATACATAAATAGTAGGTCAGAAACTTACTGGGCTTCAAGAAGATTTTGTTCAGCCTTCCCAACATCTGATGCTAAATTATTACGAGTTTCTTCTGCTCTTCGTTTTACAGCATTAAATCTTATTTGAGTTTCATTCAAAAGACTATTAGCTTTCTGAAGACTATCCAATGCCTTTATTTAAGAGTGAAAAAACAAAACAAAAATAAAGATGAAGAATAAAAGTTTAAGACGGAAAAATACAATAAAATTTAAGAGTCAAAAAATATTCTCACTGATTATTACGAACTTAGTGAAACTCTGTGTGATGAATCAATCAATCCATCATGAGTCAGAAACTTGACGCTCAAGTCACAGAAACCGTTTCCAATAAGTTTTACACTTTTAGAAACAGCTGCCTCCGCTCCATATTGAAGATCAGATGGCTAGAAATAATTAGCAGCAAGAATTTATGGGAACAAACTGGCCGAGAACCTAACGTTCAGCAAATATCCAGGAGAAAATGTAGACGGATTGGGCACACGCTGAAGAGACCATCGAAAGACATCGCGCGCCAGACTCTAGAGTGGAACGGAAAAGTGGGTCGTCTGAGGGTGACATAAAAGAGGTCGTACGAAGAAGATATCAGAGATTATGGTCAATCGTGGCCCCAGCTAAAGAGGGCAGCAGAAAATAGGACAAAGTAGAGATGTATTGTTGGGGTCTTATGTTTCACTCCGAATCCAAGAAAATAGAAATAATAATAAGTAATATTCCAATCAACCGACGGGAAAATCAAAAATTCAATTCAATAATTAATATGACCCGTTGCACAAGAGGTGGCTCTCGTGGCCCAAGTCGTCTAGTGGATAACGCTTTGGCGTTTGAAACTATGGGTACTGGGTTCGAGCCTCGGTGGGAACATCATCATCACTCAGTGAGAAATGCAGGTACATCCAACTGACGAGTCCCAAATATGACGAAACGCGAATCCTGGATTCCACTGCTAGCCACCATCCACCAATTGTATACTAATTAAATACGCAGACATCGTCGAATCATCTGCACAAGAAGCCGACATGTCAACCTGAGACCGAGCACTTCGTTCCAATCAATCGACGGGAAAATTAAAAATCCAATTCAATAATAAGTAATATTCGCTTAAGAAAATAGGGGTTTCCACTGATCAAGTTCAGCTCCTTGAATGTTAGCCTTTTTAGTACTTTATTCCCTCGAATACCAAATCTTGAAATAATTTTCCCATCTACAATTACTAAAACCACTGTATTGAGTTGTGAAAGGTAGTCCATCTTAGCTTGTTAAAAAGACAAGTTAAATATAAATTACAGTTGCTACGCTTCATATGTACACCAAGTTAAGACATGATTTAATATACCGAAGTGGCACAGACGATGCCCACATAACTGGCGATATAAAATAAACTACTGACTTGATTTCATGCTATCAAGTAATTCAGAGATGTCTACATGAACAATAATCCGCTCAACATTAAACATAAAATTTAAACCAGAAATAAAACTCAGAAAAATTAAAACTATTAAAATAAAAACTATTCACTGCTTAAGATCTCAGTGATACAGAGAAGAACATCTCCATTCTAATTTGCCCTCTTTCATAATTTTCAACTGGCTACACGACCACCCACATAAGCAATAATTTTCACCTCACATGATTTCCTCCATTTCACCTTGAGATGCCCAACATGTGACACTCCACATTTGCGGTGTATGCTGCAATTTAAAGGTCACCTTAGTGTTCATCTGACCCATCTTTATTCTCTTCTGCATGTTTTTCTAGTAGTTATGATGTCGGAAATTATAAGATCAAAGGAATTTAGCTAGATACTAATTGACTACCACGTTAAAAAGGATCAATTATTACATTGCATACAAACAAATACCATTGGATAGGAGAGATCTGAACTTCCAAGCGGGTAGTACAGTTAAGCTAAGGCGAGAGATTTACCACTTCACTCTATATCATCATTATTATCATCATCAAGTCACCCGGTAGTGAAAAGTGTAGTGAGAAATGAAACCAACGAATACGAAATAATGGAACTATAAACACTCAGTCTGAGAATTAGTCGACTATTCCGAAGTGACTATGAGCAATTAACTACTATCACAATGACACCAGTAAAGAACTAATGTTGTATCACTGTGTGCTATTATATCACAAAAATCAAAACACTACAGAATTACACTCTATTACACTTCTTAGGTACTATAATAATAATAACTTTATTCCAAGCACTGATAATTATACAGAATGGAATTTTCAGCATTTTTATGCACATTGAAACAATTTAGCTCCTCTCATAAATATGTACATTCATAATATTTAAAATAGTAATAATAATATTGATGATGAAACCGCTATAAACAGTGTTGGTGAAAATATAATGAACTATTTATTATTATTATTATTGTATCCTTTAGTTCCTAGAGGAACATAGGGCTTCAGCTGCGCACCTCCATTGCCTTCTGTTTTCTGACAACTTTTTCACCCTGCTCCAGGTCTGTCCACATGCTTTCATCTCCTCCTCGCATGACCTCCTCCAAGTCACCCTTGCACTTACGACCAACTCGCCACCCGCTTCCCTTTCGGGTTCCACTCGAGCGATGGCTTGTCTAGTGATGTCACTTGATGGTTTCCTCAGCGTATGGCCAATCCAATCCATCTCCATTTCTTCCTGCCTATTTGTTTCACAATCGGTTCCTGCTGGGGTGGTTCGCTCATTGCCAGAGATCTCTGTTGCTGATCTTTTCTGGCTATCTGATCTTGAGTATTGAGCGAAGACAGCTGTTAATGAAGGTCTGAAGTTTGTTTGAGATGCTCTTTATGACTCGCTAAGTCTCTGATCTGTATAGTAGCACTGACTTTACATTGGTGTTGAAAATCCAGATCTTATTTTTGGAGTTGAGTGCTGTTGACCTCCACACAGATTTGAGAGTAATGAAAGCTTGTCTTGCTTTTCCGATTCTGGCTTTGATATCCTCGTCAGTTCCGCCTGTAGTTGAGACGATGCTTCCCAGGTAGGTGAAGGAGGCTGTTTCTTTCAGGTTCTTCCCACTTATGCTGATTGTTGTTGTTGTTGCTGTTGATGTTGGCCAGGAATCTTCATCACCTCTGTTTTATCTATGTTCACTTGAAGTCCTATCTTCTCCGGATGCTTCTTCTGCCAGCTTGTTACTTTTCACTTGCATATCTTCCAGTTTGTTTGTGGGAAATCAGACATATGTCATCATCGGCGAAGTCCAGATCCTCCAAGTCTTTTGTGTCAGTCCACTTTATGCCCGTTCCCTCGTTGGTTGCCGTTGTCTGTCGCATTATCCAATCTACTGCAATCAGGAAGATCATTGGTGATAGTAGACAGCCTTGCCTCACTCCCGTCCTCACTTCGAAGGCTTCCGTAAGTTTCCCGTTGTGGGTTACTTGGCATGCAGCATTGTCGTATAACTGTTGGATGAGATGTATAATTGTCGATGGGACCCCGTAGTAGAGAAGTAGTTTTCAAATCACCTCTCGATCGACGGTACACTATCGAAGGCCTTTTCAAAGTCGATGAAGTTGAGATAGAGAGGTGACTGCCATTCCAAGCTTTGTTCAATGATGATCCGTAGAGTGGCGATTTGATCAATACATGATTTGTTTCTCCTGAATCCGGCCTGTTCCGGTCGAAGTTTTTCATCCAGGTTGGCGTGATTGATTTTCTCCAGGATGATGCGGCTTAGTATTTTGCTTGGGATGGAAAGGAGCATAATTCCACGCCAGTTTTTACATTGACTTAAGTCCCCTTTCTCTGGTAGTTTGAATAAGTATCCGTTCTTCCAATCCTCGGGTACTTTGCCCTCTTTCCACACCTTCTCTAGCAGTGGCGTCATCAAGTAGACAATATCATAGATAATACATGTAATAATAATCTTTGCTTTTACTTTGTAGTTCAGATTACTGATATGAAAAGTTTATAAGTTCTTTTCTGACATCTGACTTTTTCTTCGCACAAAACCCGTGCTATATATGGTGGTATGGTAGAATTTTTATATTTAGTTGTATGAGCGTAAATTTATACGACGTTTTTTCTGGTTTTACCCGAAGAGATACAAGTAGAAAGTTGAGAGCAAAGAGGATGTTCAGTATTAGACAAGATAACTTTAGCCAACTGCTTGCGAAAATTGATGTGTCTATTGACATTAATGTCAAAGCTACACACACCATTAACCGTAATTATAGTCTTCAGTGTTCTAAGAAATATGACATAGTCTTTCTTGAGACGTCCAGGGAAACAATGGCGAACAATAAAGGAGAGTGGGGAAAATACATGAAATAACAAAATTGTAAGAGAAGAGGTTGAGTTATATCAGCAGACAGCTCAACTTCTTTATGCAATAAGTTAAACGGAAAATTTTTATCAAATAAACCTGGTCTGTCCTAACTGCTTTCCTTAATAACCCACTAACACTTTTCTTGCCAATTTTGGATTTCCTTGCTAAATTATAACTAGTGTTCTTGTCAGTAATCATTTACACCGAGTTGTTCCAAGGTAAAGAAAAATTATCCTTAAAATATCATCACTTGTATAAAACAGGAGACGTGTTTCAAAACTCATATTTAACTAAAGTCTGATGTCTTAAACCCTAGGAAGCTATCATCCTTGACAAACGGAGAGACAGCTTCTTCATCAGAATTTGTTCGGAACATGCTGTCATAAAAATGCTTTCATCTAGGAAGGAAATAACTAAGCGTGCATCAGAGTATGACACTAATACGAATCCTGTGGAAATCTGACGTGATATCCAGTGAGTCAAATGCAGAAATAGTGGTAAAGACTGTCAACAACCTAAAACCAACGGTCGGGAAAGATTTAACCTTAAGTTTCCTCAGTATCCCATAAACACACGTCAGTCCATCAAAGAATAGGGACTTAAGCTTTTGAGATAATCGTCACGGTATTATTCTGCTGTCCAATACAAGCCAAATTTCCTGAAAAGACTAAAATATGCAGTGGATGGAATTATTGTCGGAATACAAGGGAATAATAATAAATAATATCTAAAAGAAAGAACACAACTTACTACATTCGTTTTATCAATTATTTCATTCAGTTCTGCTTCTGTAATTGAAGACTTTTCATTTACCAAACATCTAGATTAAGAATACATCTGCGTATTAGTTTCCAAGTTGATTCTTTGTATTCAAAAATAATCATTTGGTTTTAATTACAATTACCAAATACAATTTTTTCAGTCCATTAAGGAAAAACAAATTTTCGTTTTCAATTACCAGGATGAACCTATTTGTCAGTTATCTATTACTCTACCTACATATGCACCAGAAAGTTAACCAAAATGTAAATCATGAATTTTAGTAATGGGAATGCAAACTGTTACCGTATATTATCCATAATGGCTGTTTGGTTATTCTCTACTGACTGACTGACTGACTGAAGAACCAACGTAGAACCTTACTGAGATGTGCCGGACACAATCCAGAGAAGATAATGGAAATGTGATAATAGTAATATAGGCAAGAGTGTATGGAGAAGAGGATTATTTAGTGACAATCAGTGAATTTCTGAAAAGAACAGTGTATATATCTAGGCTGCTGTAAATGGATACTAGTCACTTCATCTGAAGGCTTCGTGATAAACATCTTGACAACTTCAATCATGCAAAGCACATCTACTTACGTGACCCACATGCTTGGCAAATGATATCATGGACTGGTAAGATGTTTCACGTTGACCATCCGTAACTCCTTTCAAACTCAACCTTACATAAACCAACAATAACGAAAAATAATTTGACATTGCTTTGAGGCCACGTAATCTTATATGGGTAACAAAATAGATCAAGCTATTGTCAGTGGAAGTTCTATATCAATAAGTAATTCTTTCGGAACCTCATAGTTGTTTAGTCGATATTTTTCAGAGGTTTATTAAGTGGATAAAAACATAATGCTTACAGTTTAAATCGTTTTCTTAACAATTTATCGAATATTAACTAGAATCGGAATCCAGGACGTTTTAAGTTCACTTCATTTGAACGCACATATATTGCCACTGAGACAATAAACAGGTTATCTTGACGTTTCACTTTGTATTACGAAAGCCGATTCTCGCTTATCGTGTATCACTTTTCTATGGATAGTTTCGTTCTTTGTCACTGTACACTGAATGGACTGAGTTTATTGGTGGTTTTACTACAATGTCTTCCTTCTCAAAACACTCCAGTATTGTCTCTTTTGACATTATATTTGTGAACATGGCATGAAAATGAGGCTACATTTAGTGAAGTGACAATTTCGCCTAGTATACTGACCGGTAAGAAGCCCATAAGAAGAGAGAAGGTTTGAGGTAAATGGAAAATTAATCAGTTTTTTGGAAAAACTTCAAAGCACGAAAACAAAAATATAAAAAACTTTGAACGAAATTAAATGAACACAAAAAGTAGTGACTAAATAAGTCTTTTAGGCAATTTAATATCTTTGGGACTGTCTTGGTCTAATGAGGCATAGTACTGAAAACGTTTGACACAAAATGAACTATTAAATTTATAAATGTGTTGCATTATTCAACTTTCCAGTTAAAGAAACATTTTACACTGACTAACGTGCATCCTGTGAGACGTGAAATTTCACTCTCAATACTGTTTTTCGTTGCATTCAATGACTTCAATCTTGTAGATATTCTGTCATATTCATCCTGAGTCTTTTTTATATTCCATTTCAAAGTTGTCAAGGTATTAGAAGCTTGGTCGTGTTCTATAAACAATAAAAACAATCTTAAATATTGAAGTGCTTATTTCCTTAATTTTACTAAACTCACACTTTATACGGAGAAAAATATATAAAATTTATTCATGTCATTTCTCGTGTACAAACTTTCTAGGTCATCAAAATGTAATAACTTTTAAAACGTGAAGTAGTAAGTATTGATGATAGATACCACAGCTTATGTAGTTACTATAGAGCAGAATACACATATGACTGGTTGTTAACCGATTTTTCTTAACGAAGGCAAATGATCTAAATAAGGCTACCTTTATTTTCACTGGTTTTAACAATTGCAAGTCAAACGTCGACATTTAATTTAGTCTCACTGTGGCTCGGTTTTGTAGCAGGCAGGACGCTTCACACTAAATATGATTCAACATATATGAAAAACCTACCATGAAATTATTTGCAATAGTACGTTTGTGATCTATGAGATGTGTCCAGTAAGTGTTCTACATCTGGAAGTGGAGGGTCATCTGATCAAACATAGATGTGATTGAAAGCTAAACGTTTTCACACTTTATAAGCACTGGATCGAGGTATAATCTCAAAAGTAACTCACTTACCTGACCTCATTTTTTCAATTTCACGATGACCACTTTTACCTATACTTTGTGAGGCTTAGTTATATTTAGCATTTACTTTGAACAGATAAATTGTCCGGAATGTGTTTGCGATTTTGCTAGCGGAAGTGTTATGGATTACATAGCATGTTGTTTATAATTACTAACACCTTATTTTGCTTTCCTCAGAATAAACTTTCACTTTTTTTCCTGCGTACTACTATCTTTTGAGACGAGAATCGTAACACACTTTATGATCACTTTTAGCTATGTAGAAGCAAAGGGCAACAAAATTTACAAAATTCCAAAGTGCAATCATTAAAACTTTTTCTAGGTAAATTAGTTAGATGCCAATACATGCCCTGGTACTTTCTTCAAGGTCACAAAATCGACAAAGCATTCTAAACTGAAAAATATTTCTAATAAGAGTTAGCGCATAAAATTAGTCTTGATGGAGTTCTCAAAATATTGGGAAAATTAAGGGTCAGAGACCCATTTTTACAGTGATTGATTGTCAAATACCTCGTCAAATTCAAGTCTAACTTCCGTAGAGACCTAACCAAATGGTGATTCTACAGTACACTTCAAGAATGCATCATAAAACTAACCACTATCATCAAGTGGTATAAATTATATGACGTTGATCATAATCTTGTATTGAGGTCATCAAGCATCCTCGATACATGCAAAGTAGAACGAACAAGAGTATTCTTCCAAGGAGGCTTACATTCTGGATATTAGGACAACTAATTTCCGCTTACAGATTAACCACTGCACACAGAAAAAAATATCATGAAGCTGAACACAACAGTAAATCTAGTAATTGGGCACTAAATTGCATGCTTGTAAACCTCGTTGGTGAGACACTTAAAATTGAGAAAAGCATAACTTACGAATACCTATAAGGATTATATCAATTGACCAAGTAAATTCACTATTTCCAAAGACGTTTGTTCTAATTTATACACTTTCTAGCAGTGGACCAAGTTTATAGAAGAAAAAGCAGTCACAGTGACTGACTGAGTGACTGAATTATCTAAATTCACCAATTTACCTCGAGCGTTAAATCAGTCAAATAATGTAATTGGGATATTTCTGAAACAATGACATTCTACCCATCTGGATGAAAGAAATGTTTGTTAAGTGTCAGATACTAGTTACAGAATCACAGCCACCTGCATGTCATGACTTAAAACAGTGACACCTTAGTATTTGGTCACAAACTAGAGACTTCAAACACCTTCGAGCACTCATACCTTTCTGTGAAGCAGCAATGGTTATGTTTAATACTGTAAGCGGCCTCATAATCATATATGAAATGCAGAAGCGCATGGAAGTAGCGAACCCTAGCCTTAGGATTATCATGTTGACAATATGGTGAGCAGTTGGGAGATATAATTATTATAGGAGATGTATTAGATAGTGATTATATACGTAATCTACTCAAAGCTTCTCTAAAACTCTTTGTGCCGGTAACAATCACATCCTCGGAGTCTGTAGTTCGTCAAAACGTATAAATAAATTCCCGAAATCTCACCTTAAAATAATTCTAGGACCAATTATATTTAACTATACTGCACTAAAGCTCATATTTCCAAAAATATACATTCTAAGTAATGACACTTTTTTGTTATTATAAACTACAGTTCATGCAAGGTACTGATTAGCGGGGTACTGAAAAAAATTGTCTTATGCTCAGCTAGTATAGTGTAACGTTTGGACAACAGAACCTACTCCTGATGGTATTATTAAAACATTTAAATTACGGAAAAAATACAAAAAGTGTTTCAATATCTAAGTTTAAACACTATCAGCAAGTAATAGAAAAGATTTGTAACTCAGGTGGATGATTTGGAATTGATAGTGTTCTCTGAGCTCCTTGGTTTAATTGCGGAGCTTTCATCGTCTTTCTGGACGACATCTTCAGCGCAGTACTTGGGATAAAGTGAAATGATTTAAATTTCTTCATGAGTCTCCCGGTAACCATCTTTAGATATTTATTGACCGTTTTCTATTGATTGGGATTTTAAACTTTCTGATCACCTGATTTACTTCTTATTAGTTGGTATATTTCATCTATATTAACGTTAATATAGATGAAATATACCAACTAATAAGAAGTAAATCAGGTGATCAGAAAGTTTAAAATCCCAATCAATAGAAAACGGTCAATAAATATCTAAAGATGGTTACCGGGAGACTCATGAAGAAATTTAAATCATTTCACTTTATCCCAAATACTGCGCTGAAGATGTCGTCCAGAAAGACGATGAAAGCTCCGCAATTAAACCAAGGAGCTCAGAGAACACTATCAATTCCAAACTATCAGCAAGTATTATGCCCACATGGCTCCTCCCGATTCGCTGTACAGTGAAGCTTCATTCTTGCTCTGAATTTTAGCAGTATGTATTTACAGTCATTTGTCTTTCTCAAACCGGCACAAATGGGGAACAAATTGTAGAAAATGAAAAAAAACAACGGGAATAGTAGATGTGAGAAGAAGGGGACCTGAAGAAATACATGTGAAATTGAGAGGGAAAAAGTCGAGTGTCTTAAGATACAATCATTTGAGTACACAAGTGAGGTAAATAACCTGAAAAGCAGTCTTTAAACAACAAAAGTTACCTTTTTGAACAACAGAAGGGATTTCACTCATGCAAAATCTGCCTATACGGTCGAATCGTTTTACAAGGGTATAAACCATTTCCCGATTTTCTCGGATCTTGGATTCTGCTTTTGTCAAATCCAGCTCCAGATTTTCAAAAACCTCAACAAGCTTTTTGATAATCTTACTTAACTATCAGTGGAATAGACATAATTACAGATAAAAACTGTTCATTCGATGTGTTAGACTTTTGGTTATTTTCATCCGTAGTGACATCTTCCAAATAATTAACAAGCTTGACAATCCACTCCTGATATAGATGATGACTAAAACTGAGTATCTAACCTCTCCGATAACCAAATATCTGATAGGATTTTTTAATGATCCTGTCATCACAACTCAAATTCGTCCCAAAATTCACCTATGACAGTCAAGGTTATTTCACCGCTTTCAATCTTCAAATTTTTTCTGATGCCAAACAATAATAATTTTTTGTGTAAAATGAAGTAGCAGGACCGATTTTCACGGCAACGTTATTTTATCAAATTCATTATCTAGGTGACAGTGCCTGCAAATTTGCGAATTGTTATGTGGTCAAGCGTAAGTAATGTTTCCAGCTTACGGATAGTTAGCACAGTCAGCCTTAAGCCTTTATAAGACTCTTGCGAGCTTTCGAAGGTTTGATCTTTTTCAAATAGATCGGCAGAAGGTGCTGTGTTGGGGAATTAAAGTGGGTCGAAATTACACGCGAAAATGAACTTTCAGAAGTGAGTGAATTAAGGTAGAGTGTAGAAGCACAAATCAGGCATTTGCTGCTGATGATAATACATTAGTCCAAGTGTTAATTCGATCATGTGAGAGCCTATTAATTCCAGATGATTTCAGACAGTGGTGTTATGGGAAACATAAGAATAAAGATAATGATGTTTCGAAGAGTAAATGAAGTGTCTAGGCCACCAACGGGTGAGTATATACGTGGTTTCGTGTTATATTTTCCGCGACTAATTTTTTTTCGCCTTTCATTGGCTAGAATGGTGGCGGTCAATTGGAGTTTGAATTGTCCTTGGGTGCGTGCTGTATTTGCGTGGTTGTGTTTGCGTCGTTTGCCAGCATATGTGATTACTGTAAACGTGTATTAAACTATTGTAACGCTTTGTTTTTCTTTGTTTGTGCATGTACTAGGCTTTATTTGTCGTACAATTCGTTGTTTGGTCTATTGGTTGCTTGCGATGTCAACGAACCGGTGGGTTCTTGTGTTTTTCTGTAATTTAGGTTATACGTGCGGTATTTTCTTGATGGTTATCGATCATCCCTGTATTTCAATGTTGTTTTTTTACGATTTATCTTGCAATAGTTGTGACATAGATGGATCCTAATTGATAATTTTATTTTAGTCCGTTGCAGGTAGTCAATTCGAGTGACAGGAGCACAGATTTAAGTGGAATTTTTGCTGAATACATACTTGGAAAGCGTTTCTTCAGCTGGGATGAATTTGAGAAGTCATTAGCAGAATTTCAAAAAGTGAGGAAGTCATTTAATGCTAACAGTGTAGTTATCCTACGCTCACTATGTTCATAATTGCAGCAGGTGTAGTAGTTGTACGACACAGCCGCTAGCTACTAATCGACAGAAATCTGGTACTAATTTTAAGTACTCTGACATTTGAGAAGGACTATTTATACTATTCTTCCAAACACAATGAACACTGATGTCAATATACTCTGATGCCATTTCATGCACTGAGCAATGAAGGCCTTGTGAAATTTCATGTGTAAATGTCAATTAAACTATTTTTACATCTTCGCCCAAGCACTTTTAACTAGGAACTTCATCAAAATAGATATAATCAACAGGAAATTCAGCAGCCTGTCTCATTCATCGCATAATGTCGTCGATGTGTTATGGAATATTTCAGTCATCCCGGATGATAACAGAAAAGTTTAACATGTTCAAAGCACACATCTAACCTATGCCTGCATGCTATTTATCTTTCATAGGCCAGATTCTAATAGATTCACTGGAATGACAACAGCCATTGACTGCAGTATATTTACAACCTTAAGATCTGAAACAACTCGCAAAAAAACAAACCCTCAACGCACTATAATGCAAATAATAGTCTTTCTATGCGAACTTTCTTAAAAAGGATGACTTCTTCATTGATAATTCGTCCGAGCTATAATATACAATTTTACGCTCTACTAAGAACAAAATACAGCAAAATACTGTCATCCGGCTACAGCAGTCTAAAACTAGTCAAATATAATCTATTTCCAAAAAAATAGGTGATTATAACGTCTGTTGACGTGAGCGCGGTAACCGATGGCATTGCGCGATAACACCTGGTGTCGGCCTATATCCTCACTCCTACCAACAGAAGTTGTATACTTGTATGACCCACTTTTCCTAGGTTTTATTTCGTTATTACATTACAGGGCCACAGGAGTAAGACCGACGATACTGTTAATTCTGGCGGAGTGTATATTGCGGCAGACTGTTGTAGGCGAGGAGTCAGAAATACTCTGGACCACCGACTGAAAGACTTCAGAAAATCTGGATCCTGCAAATAGTATTTGTCTTATATCACAAAAACCCGATGACTTGCAGGAGAAATCGGCAGCAAACTGGTTGAAGGCGAAGCCGGCAAAGACAGGACTCCAGGTGAACATGGATGAGACGGATGTTAAGATAACGAACCACTACCACCTTAACAACAACCAGCAGGAATCACCATCAAAAAGGGTGATGTGACAGAGGTTACCTCCTTCACTTATCCAGAAAGCATCTTTTCGAATACAGGCAACTGGCACGGATGAAGATGCTAAAGCCAACCTGTCAGCCAATTCCGAAATCGTCTGTACTAACTTAGCATAAAGAACATGATTCGGATTTTCAGCACAAATGTCAGATCACTTCTTCTATACAGATCAGAAACTTGCACTGTGTATCACGAAGAGGATTCCAAACAAGTTACAGACTCTTGTCAATAGTTGTCTTCACTGCATCCATACTGAAGGTCAAATGTTTAGAAAGAATTATTACGAAGAAACTCTGGCAACAAACTAATCAGGAGCCGATCGCTCAACAAATATTTGGGAGAAAGTGTAGATGGATCGGGCAAACATTGGGGAGCCCGCTGAATGACGTCGCATGCCAGGCCATTACTCAGGTGAAATCCCAATGGGAAGCGAGGAGTGGGTCTGGGATGGGAGGAGGAGATGAGAGACTATGGGTATCGTGGACCCAGTTGAAGTGGACGGCATAAAATAGAACAAAGTGGAGATGTGTTGTAGAAGCCCTAAGTCTCACTCGGGTCACAAGAGTATAAGTACAACTGATAATATTTCTTCACTCTCCTAGCTTTTATCTATCCTAAGACTACTTCATCTCACACTAAAATGGTGGAGAACATTTCTCGTTGATGCGTATTACTGCATATAACGGAATAATAATAATTTAAGAATGATTGGAAACATGTTCGACGGCTAATTTCTACTTAACACTAGTGAACGCTAATAGTATACGCAACCGGATTTAACATAACTTGGCTGCTTCATGCAAGGCTTGATGACGCTTTGAGAGAATAACGTTTTAAGACTTTGATGCGTTTCACACAAGTATCACTACGTTGCTTATCATTCTCGTTAAATATCTGATGTCCTAGAAATAATAAAGAAAAAGATACAGACAGTTGCGTAAACTCATATATACCACGGAACAATATTCAACCAAGTTAAAAATAATTTGGTATGAAAGGCACATATTTACATCAAAAAGTCTTTATAACAATTCACTGAAAAAAGTCACAGTTGTAGATCGTCCATGGCTGAACTACCATCATCATAAAGTCTACGAATCAGTCTGTCCACAAGATTTTTATTAGTTCCCCTCATTTGTTAATAGTGTTGGACCGATATTGGAATATTTCATAAGCATTAGAAGATACTGTATATGATGTTTGCATGCAAAGACTCAGATTGTGTTCCCTCAACTACTTGTGGCTATATTGCAAATCATCTGTGGTTGTAAACATATCGGGTGAATCAACCTTACCTCTGGTGAACAGTCCCTTAGGCGCACTGAATATGTGAACTTCACTTCTAACTTCTCTTCTGCAAAAAGCAAATATTACACAAACATCTCCCTTATCGATACGTCAAAAACAGCTGAAAAAGACAGAATCCTCAAATTATACACTTCTTCCATTTAGATAATAATATTCATTTAGACCCTCAAGTGGAACCCGAAAAAGAAGCGGCGGGTGGGAAGTCCAAGGGTGACATGGTGGAGATCGTGCGAAGAGGAGTTGAAACAGTATAGAAATACATGGATGCAGGTGAGAAGCACAGCAGAGGACAGTAACAAGTGGAGACGTGCAGTTGAAGCCCTATGTTTCACTAGGAACCCAAGGGAACAATAATATATAACCGGATCCTATACATTTCGGAACTGTGAAATTTGTACATATAATAATTGGATGTCTGAAGTTGAAAAATATAATATCCGTCTGATTTTATTATTATTTCAAAGGGCACCTTTGTAACGCCTAATGCGTATTAGCTGCAACGTTTACGCAAAGGAAAATTTACCAATCCCAATCCACATGATTGACCCTCAGGTGCTCCGCTTCCCCGCAGGTTGTTTGTGACTCTATCCTCTGTCGTGAGTTAACTGGGGTATTTGAACTTTAAAATGATATCTTTTCAGGTTTTTGTCAACCAAAACGTTGATTACAACACGGAGTGATAATGTGAGTCAACACGCGTCCACCGAAATTTCATCGCAAATACGTCTGGACGGTTCAATGCATCTTGAAATGAAAAGGTTGGTAATCCATTGATGCCTCTTTTCCGACATACTGGCCTCCTATTATAATTATTGGCCGATCGCTTTCATATTTCAGATGGGAATTAATAAAGGCGGGGTATTATTTTAAAAATTCGTCCACGTCAAATAAACAAAATGACCTATAATATTCAGAAACCCTTTGTCAGCCTCTGCCTTACAGTCTGATAGGTTACAAGGAGCAAGTTCAATAACTACTCTAAAATTGCCATGGTCGGATGCTTCTAGAACACCGAATAGTTGCAATGTTACAAGAAAAATACCAATAGCTTCACTTGACATGTCACATCGACTTTTTTAACGAAGTTACACGAAGCAGGGACAACAGAGAACTAGTAATTGTGCTATATTTAGATATAAAAAAGCCTTCGATAGAGACCCCATAATCTGCTAGTCAGCAGGTTATGCTAACTAGGGATATGTGACCCCCTCCTGAGCTGGATAAAATCATTTCTCTGTGGCCGAAGTCAGATAACGAAAGTTGGCTTGATAGTCTCAAGGCCTAAACCAGTAAGTAGTGGTGTAATCCAGGGAAGTGTATTAGGCCC